TGCTGAAGCCAAAATTCTGTATGCCCTTCGATGTTCCAAGCATTACCTCACCAGCTAAGTATCAAGTAGAATGGAAACATTTCAATATTTTAATAACTGACCTGCTCTATATTGATGAAGATTAGACCTGGTCTTATTTTATTGATTTGTTTTGAAAATTTTATGATTGCATGTATCTTCTAAGTGATTTTAATTAGCTTTAACACATTCCACTGAAAATATGGAAATGTCATAAAATGTAATGTCTACATTTTAATTATATCAAGGCTCTGAAAAGTTGGACATATTAATACAATAGCAGGAGCTGAATTATATTAGAATATAAATTGGAAAGAGTCAAGAGTGATCCAAGGTAAGGGTCAGAAGATAATAATAGTTCAGTGGTTTGTGCATCTTATCTTTTTTTTTTTTTTTTTTGAGACAGAGTCTCACTTTGTTGCCCAGGCTAGAGTGAGTGCCGTGGCGTCAGCCTGGCTCACAACAACCTCAATCTCTGGGGCTCAGCGATCCTACTGCCTCAGCCTCCCGAGTAGCTGGGACTACAGGCATGCGCCACCATGCCCGGCTAATTTTTTGTATATATATTTTTAGTTGGTCAATTAATTTATTTCTATTTTTGGTAGAGACGGGGTCTCGCTCAGGCTGGTTTCGAACTCCTGACCTTGAGCAATCCGCCCTCCTCGGCCTCCCAAAGTGCTAGGATTACAGGCATGAGCCACCACGACCGGCCTGTGCATCTTATCTTTTAAACTGTGTTACATATGTCAGAAAAAGGGGATGACAATTCTTAACTGTTTTGTGGAATAGACTATATTTAAAAATTGGCCAAATAAACTTGAGAAAATGATCACTTACAATTGTTGCTTCCAATTTTGAGGATTCTAAACATCCTGGTTAATACTGTTTCAATCTTTTTGGCACAAGGTACTGGTTTCATGGATGACAATTTTTCATGGACCAGGTGGAGGGGACGGCTTCAAGATGATGCAAATGCATTATATTTATCACGCAATCAAACCTCTCTGCTACCGTAATCTATATTTGAAGCTGCTCCCCAGCACTAACATCACCGCCTCGGTGGTATATAATAAATCACAGTAGAATCTTAAGCAATGTAAGCGCAAAATCCAATTATGATGACAGAGTAGAGTTGCTGACAATCCCTCTACTATACTACTAAGTTAGTGCCTCTCAAACTTTTGGATGCCTGAGAACCACTTGGAAGGTAGGCCTTCCCCAAGATTTTCTAATTCAGTTGCTTTGGGATAGGATCCAAGAATTTGAATTTCTAAGAAGTTTCCAGGTGGTGCTGATGCTGCTTAGAGAAACACTGCTCTCAGGAAAACACAGCATCAGAATAAAACTATCTTCTTTAGGCAGACTGTTTCACAAGTGGTAAGTATATTCGCTAACTTGGCTAACTGCCTCTGTTTGTAAAGGAACTATAAATATTGCTTTGTATTATGTTTAGGTGTTTTAATTTCTGTGTTTATAACAATACAATTTGTTGCTATGATGTAGTTTACGTCTATTATAATTCCCTCTACCACTAAATGGCTTCTTTTTTCTACGAAAGCCCAGGCTTTTGTATCTGAATACAAATTTTACGTCGGTTTATTTTCCTTGTCAGACCAAGTCTGATTTATGGATTTCCACTGAAAACATGACCACACTCTTACAGGTACTTGCTTTAGACTATAAATCAATAATTCAGTTTAACTTTACATTGCACCGATAACTTCTCTTTTCCTTTTTTCTGCACTCTACAGTATAAGATTTTTACAATATGTGCCTTTCTTTCATATATGAATCATGATATATTATTTTTCATGGCTAAATGGATGTAAATTTGAATGCAGATTATTAATTAACAATTTTTTTAATCCAATATGTTAGGTACAGATGCAGGTTGGCAGTGCTAACTACAGGAAAAGAGGAGGGGGGCAAAAATGAAAAGGCCAATGAACTTTTAGAATCAAACCCACAACAGCAGGAGCTTGAGGTTAGGGACTTTTCCTGACCAGGAGCATGTGCAGAAACTGGTAGTTGATGTCCAAAGGTAACCTTTTCCCCACTAACATACATTAACATAGTAAAAATCATACCTGCCAGTCACATGACAGTTTTTACAAATGTCATGACAACTCCTGGAAGTTACTTTATTAGAATAAAATTGAGGAGGGCCCCTAGCTCTAAGAACTCTTCACTATTTTCCTAGGACAATAATGAGTATTCTACCCCATATAATATATCATAAGGTCTAGACATAAAAGTAGAAGTGTGGCAAAACTCCAGTGTCTTCTCAACTCCTGGAGATAGACCAGTTTCCCCTAATAACCATACTTTTACTTTCTATTTCTATGCAAAAACCCTGTAATAAAAGAAGCTGTCTGTCATCACTCTGCTGTACCGGCCCAGCTTATGAGTCTTCCAAGCCAGGAGCCAAAGCACCAGGACAACACCCGTCAAAAAAATCAACCCAGACACAGTACACAACTTATTTTTTGAAAAGTCAGTACCTTGAACACATTCAATTAGAATTATATTCTAATTTAGACATCTTTATTAAATTTTTCTTTGTTTTCTCCTTCCTAACATACATATACACTTGTGTGGGCACACACACAACACACATAATATATAAGTATACACAAACGTACATGTACACACACCATTGTTTCATCACCATAATAATATAGTGTATTTATGGTTATAAATATCATATACTAACATTCATATTAATGTGAAAAAGAGAGGTGAGTCATCAGAATCCTTCATGTCACACACAGGTGGTCAGCATGGCTTAGCTTCTGCTGTTTCTTTGAGTTCAATTCCTGGGCATGAAGAAAATAAATCATACAATGACAAAGTAGTCCCTTTCACATACCATAAATACACAATAACATGTGTTCAAATCTCTGTTTTCCAAAAACAAGTCTTATTGAGAGTGATGTATATTTTTTCCACTTTCTGAAAAATGAATATTTTAATGTCCATCATCAATAAAATGATTTTTAGAATTATTAAAGAAGCAAATCAGAGTCAATTACTGGATACTGAGTACCATGGCAGGAATACAATTTCTAAAAGAATGTTGATGTGAAAAGAAATTATCTGACTTTTATACTGAGAGAAATATCAAAGATGTTCTTTTCTTTTTATCTGTAGCATCCACTCCTTAACCTTCTCATCTTAAGCTTAGACTGTAAAAAGTTGAAATCTTAAAATGAGTTATTAGAATCACATACTGTCAGGAGGGTAAGAACAGTGTATAGCAATGTGTTAAGGTATCATAGTACATCACATATGAATAATCACCAAATCATAGTAATAAATAAAGGCCCCCATATGTTATACTTCTTATCAATCCAAGATATCATGATTATATCATCTACCTTACCAAATATTTTTAATGGATTCATCACATTATACTAGGTGCTGAACTCTCACAAATATAACGTTCTTGCTGAATAATGCCTATATGAACAAATAGAATATGTGTTGTTTTAAAATGAACCTTTAAAATAGCACCACGATACACCTTTCTAAAAGTACAGAATGAAAACAAACATTCAAATTAGGCTAGATTAGTAGTATGATTTGAAGCATCACAAACATTTAATCAAAGTGAAATTATGCCTAGAATCTGACAAATGTCACCTTACCAGCAGCACCAACCCTGCTCAGGAGGAATGATAAACTTTTAGAATGCTTCACATCTGAGATTGAATGCTTTTATCCAGCTTCCATGACATTAGTCTCTTCTTAAATATTTGGGATCTTAAAATATTAACACTGCAAGGAATCTTTGAGTTCATATAGATCAATTTTTGCTTTATAAATGAACAAAACCAAGACCCAAAGGAAAAACATGACTTTGAAAAGGTTACACGGTGATTTGTAGGAGAACTGGGAGTAGTACTTCTACAGAAAACTTCTAAACTGTTGTATTCCAACTACTTGGTCCAGACAAATGGAATTGTTGGTGCTCTAGGTTCTATGGTTACCCATTGTTTGTTTATTTCCTGAGTCACTTTAACACTCACTATTGACAATAAGTTAAATACCTTGAGCCTTAAGCCTAGGGAGTTTAGACTGCTCCATAACTTTCAATGTAAATGAAGCTTTAATTTATTTATCACAGAAGCAGCTCAAAAGAAAACTTCTTTTAATAATAAAAAAAATCATGAAAGTGTTCAGTTTGCAGTGCTAAAGAAAGTGAATAAATTGGTATCTATAAAAAGCTGCTTCCTATTGGTTTAATACAAAGAGTGAACTTTGCAGAAGTCTATAATTAAAATCTAAATTTTTACTTAGTTTTTATATTAAGAGGCCAGAATTCCTTCTTTTAAAAAGATGCTTTTTTAAAACAATGACTAAACTTATCCTGTTCAGTACAACCTCTCTTTATTCCTTTTTGCATAAAGCCGCTGACATCACTTTTTCAAGTTACTAACTCAAACCTTGGGGCTTTGCCATATCGTGAAGCAAAGGATGGGAAAGAGACTAACAATGATCTAAATGTTAACATCCATCTGGGGTCAGGGAAAAATAGACACAGCCAATAGCTAAGGAGACACATTTCTTTAATTGAGAAAAAAACCAATGGTCAGAATTGTGCATTTTAGAAAGGCAAAGACAATTCATATGAGATTCTTTATTATCAATATCACAAGAGGAAGGGAATTAGAAAATGGAGAAGAAAGTTATAATCTTGGAGTAAGAAAATATGGATTTATTTATTTTTTAAAATTGTATTATTATAATTTTTTTTTTGGAGACAGAGTCATGCTCTGTTGCCCAGGCTAGAGTGCCATGGCAGCAGCCTAGCTCACAGCAACCTCAAACTCCTGGGCTCAGGTGATCCTCCTGGCTCAGCCTCCTGAGTTTCTGGGACTACAGGCCTTGCCAGAACACCGGGCCAATTTTTGTTTCTATTTTTATTTGCCTGGCTAATATTTTTCTATTTTTAGTTGAGACGGGGTCTCACTGTTCTGCAGGCTGGTCTGGAACTCCTGAGCTCAAGTGACCCTCTCGCCTCTACCTCCCAGAGTGCTAGCATTACAGGTGTGAAAATCTAGATTTAATTGATCAGTCTGTGTCTTGCCATCAGAATGACTTTAGGTAAGTCACTAAACTTCTTTGAACCCAAGTTTACATATATATAAAATGGATACAATTATATCCATTTTCCCTGCCTACTCAAGAATGCACACATATAGTTATTAAACATGATAATAAATATGAAAATTTATACAATGAAATGTGATATATGGTTGTTAAAAATGTACTTGAAATTCAATGGATAGGACATATGAATGATATAAATCCATGCCTGAATATTACAAACCAAATATTCTAAATATTTCCATCCTATAGTTTGAGTATCTGTTTTAATTCACTGAGAGAATTTCTGTGATATTATGGCCAAGCAGTAGAACATATTTTGATCGGATAAAAAGACAGTCCTTTTAGCAATTAATATATGTGCTTTATGAAACAGATATACCTAAGAATAAAATGTTATTAAGAAAATATCATTTGAGTTATTTTCTCATTGGCTTCTACCAATTTTAAAAAATGTCTTCCCAAGGTGGAAAAATGTCTCTCGGACCTAATAAAAATCAGACAAAGGAGACAAAGGGAAGGTATTGTGAAAGAGGCACACAATTTTCTCTGTTTTGCAGTGAGCTGTACCAGTTCTAGGCCAGACAATGTGCTCCATTGAGAGAAGAGAGCGGTCCTATGGCTGATATCCATTACAGGACTGAATCACCAGAAGCTGAGTGCAGGTAATGAGATCATCCTGAGACTGGCAGTTCCTTTTTTGGGCATATCTACAGCATTGTGATTTCATAGCAAATGAAGAGGGGAAATGAGAGCAGTGCATCCTGTTCACTCTGACACTGATGGTTAAACAATGTCAGGAGACAACGGACGGGGAGTGAACTTCATATGTTTGTAGAAGATTTTAGTCTGTTAGCAAAGGTCCCCACTGGCATTGCAAATATGAATTTTCAAAAAACCATTTATTGATCTTCTTCTCAATTTTCTCTTCTGGTGACAATGAAACTTATAGAAAGTATAGAATACCAGACCCCATACAGAGATTATGTTATAGTTTTGAACTCTTCAACGGGCATGAGTCTTAGAGACATAGATGTAGTATAAAGATATAAGTAGACATACAAACAAGAACACACAAGTGAATGATAATTATACCCCATCAAGTGTTATATGGATGAATGGTAAGAGCTTGCAAACTTAAACACTTTCAGATATTCAATTTAAATTAACAATACTATTTATAAAGTTTTCAAAATATTTCTGCCCTTGCACACATTTGTATTTAGAGCTTCACTTAAGCTCAATAACAAATTTAGTACCTGTATTTGAGTCTGTAGCAGGATAACTAGCATTTTAATTTATTACTATTTCCTGAGATCTTTAATATGTAATCCTAGAGCTATTATTAAATTCAGATTCAATTTGGAAGCAATGGACATCAAAATTTTAAGAGTTCATTCTATCTTGTGTGCATTTATAAATGCCTGTATCAAGCATTTATTGAGTACCTATTATGTGCCAGGCACTAGAATAATGAACACTACCTTATGAGTAACACTTTTTCTCAGAGAAGAGGTTACAGGATCAGCTCATCTTAATTGAAAATGAAGTTATTACTTTAAAAGGGGACAAACTTTTAATTACTTAACTCAGTGTAATCTATTAAAACTCAAGAAATGAGAGAATAGGAAAAAAAAGAATTTCAAAATGGAAAAAATTAACATTAGTGTTTAGAAGTGTTAACAGATAAAAGGCAAAGTATATCTTAAATAAATCTTAAATTACAAAATCTAGAATTTGAATTACAGATTAAACAAAATCCTGCAAGTTGACTTAAAATATGAACACTTTATGCCTTCAATGTAGGCCTCACACCCATTTTCTTTAGATGCTAATTAATGTGTTATTTTGTTTCATTGGTTTCTGATGGAGGCTAACTGGCAGAGGATTCTTGGATATGGATGAATTAAAAAAAATGCATTACCAATCAGAGAAAAGTTAGTCAGCAAGGTAAATAGGCAGAGACCTGGAATCATTATAAACCCAGATTCAAAGGAAATTATGCATTCTTATTTTGAAGTCTAAACTGGTATTAACTGAGTAGCACCTAAGTGGACACATAGGTACTACAGTAATAGGGTATTGGGCAGGTGGGAGGGGGGAGGGGGGCGGGTATATACATACATAATGAGTGAGATGTGCACCATCTGGGGGATGGTCATGATGGAGACTCAGACTTTTAGGGGGAGGGGGGAAAATGGGCATTTCTTGAAACCTTAAAATCTGTACCCCCATAATATGCCAAAATAAAAAAAAAAGGGAAAAAAAAATTCACATGAAAACATTTAAGGAAACCTAGAACAAATCACAGGCAGTCCATCAACTAAGAATAGAAGTTGAGTTAATTTTAACCTCTGAGACTTTGTTTCCTCATTTATTAAATGGCAATGACACATTCCACAATTATTACAACAAAAATCTAAAGAGATAAAAACAAAGATTTTTCATCAGTTTACCACAAAAACTCATTTGGAGCAAAACTGAAACCTAAACTAATAGAAGCATTTCATGGTCTTGCTCATCCCAATAATATTCCTAGATACATTTTTGCAGCAGAAATATTAATGTGTTTATTCCTGAATCATTGTATGTATGTAATGGAATTTCAGTAAAAATCACAATAGGGTTCTTAGCACTTAATAAGTGGACTATAAATTATAAATGTATAAATTCATAATTCATATAATTTATAAATGTATAAATTCAAAATTTTTATAAATTATAAATTTCTATGAAAGCAAAAGACAAAAAATAGTCAAAATCCTTCTGGAGACAAAGAGACAGGATAGCATAGCAATGAAAATATTGGACTATGAACCCAGACTGTATGGTTTACAGTCTCATTGTTGCCACTTAACTGTAGGACTCTGGAAATGTTATTTGACCTTTCTATGCCTTAGTTTCTTCACCTGTAAAATTAGAAAAATAAATGCAGCTATGCTATAAGGTTGTTTTAGCATTAAACGAGTTAATATTTTTAAAGGGCTTATACTAATACCTGGCACAAAATACGTTTATATTTGTTAATTTAAAACAAAATGAGAGAGAAATTGCCCTACATGTTCCACACTAGTTAAGACAGTATTTCTGTAGGGAGAGAACAAAATCAACTAGAGCAACAAAATAGGGAAACAAGAAAAGACTGAAGCTTGGATAGAATTTGGATGTATAACTAAGATACATAAACAGGCCACTAAAAAGGGAAGAAATATTTAATAAATGGAGCTAAAATTAGGTTATTAATAATGAAAAAATGAGAATGAGTTTATACTTAACAAGATATAAAAAATCAATTTTATATGGATTAAGAATTTTAAAAAGTAAAAGCTAAACTTTAACATTTTCGGAAGAAAATATAAGTCAGCTTTATTTTTGACCTTGGGTCAGATAAGAATATTTTATTAAAGACATCAAAAGCACAAAATTAAAAAAACATTAAGAATCAGATAATGTAAAAATTAAAAATATTTATTTCTCATAAGAAACAGAGAATGAAGATAACATGAGAAGTTATTTGTAATTGTTATAGTCAGCAAAACACTATAACAACGAATACATAGACAGGTCCCATAAATTAAAATAATACAGAAAATTAATAAAAATGGACAAAAAGATGACTAGGCATGTCACAAAAGATGTATATAGCCAATAAACATAGGAAAAGTCAGCTAATTTCCTTAGTAATTTAGAGAATGTCAATAAAGAATAGAATGAGATACCATTCTCCACTACTTGATAATAAAATTAAAGAAATAGTCCAATGAAACCAAGTTTTAGAGAGGAAATGTATCTTTTACACATTGCTTGTAAGAACATAAAATGATACAATCACTTTGGAAAATAAGTTGGTATTGTTTTTTACAGTGGAATGTTTCTAAATACATACCATTCCTAGATACATACCCAAGACAAACTCTTGCACATATGTACTCAAAGGCATAACAAAAAAAGTTCATTGTGGCACTGTTCATAACATAAATAAAACTGGAAACAATGAAATCCTCCATAAGCAGTTGGAGGTTAAATATACTGTGGAATTTTCATAAAATGGAATATTGCAAAACAATAAAAAAGATCTACAATTAAATATTACATCATGGCTGAATCTTAACATCATGATCTGAAGTGAATAAAGTAAATCTTAGAAGACTACATAAAATATGATACCCTTTTTAAGAAGTTCGAAAACAAGAAAAATGAAGCAATATATTGTGTTGGCATACATATTTGTGTTATAAACTATTAAAATGTATCAACAAACAAAATTCCATGTCATAATCATAATTTATTCTTTTATTTATCAGGCACAGCAATTCTCTTAACCCCTTTTCATATACCTTCTAGTCTTTCTCTTTTAATACTAGCTTTAATACTAGCTTCAACTATTACTTTTATGCATATATTATCCACAAGAACATCTTAGATTTGTTGAGTTTTACAGATTGTGAAGCAAGTCCCTGATATTATCTTTTTTTAACCACAAGAACAACCCCTACAGAAAAGATATCTATTTTTAATGTCCATTTTTAGCTGTCAATAAAATGATGCTAAAAGAATTTGTGGTATACCTAAGGCCATAAAAGTTCGAAGAAGGTCCAAGATTTGAACTATAACCAATTCCTGTACTCTTTCTACTCTCTCTTAAGCTCCAAATCAAAATTCAAAGCCTGAATTTTCAAGTGGGTATTTTTACAGTCAACATTTTAATAAAAACTCACATTGTATTTCTGCTCCTAAAATCAGTGCATTATCTTGCCTTGCTTCTTTTCAAAGCCACCATTATGTAAGTTAGAAACCATAAACTTATCTTTAATTTTTCCTCTATACTGATGGATGTTATCCGTTATCAAATGCTATACATTCTTACTAATTTTTCTTTAACTTTATCATCTACATCTTTTATGTACTCTATTCTTTAAAGGACCTGAGTGTATCTGTACTCTGTGTTTCCTCCCTTTTCCTCCTTCCTCTTCTGCTCTCTAGAATGCCTTCCTTTCTTTCTTCCTTCCCTGTCAAAACCCCTAAAAGTCCATGTTACACACTTCTTCATCCAGGAAGCTGCCTATGGCTTCTCCAACCGTATGCTTTCTCTCTCTTTGTCTCTGCCTCTCTCTTTCTCCATATCTAGATTGTTCTTTATTTGTATTTCTTTTTTTTTTTTTTTTGAAAGTGCGGATCCTGTTTCAGTTTTTATTTTTTTATTTTCTCCAGCATTCTGTAGGGATACAAATGTTAAGGTTACATATATTGCCCTTGCCCCTCCTCCCCCCTTGAGTCAGAGCCTCAAGCGTGTCCATTCCCCAGTTAGTGCACATCACATTCATTATGTATGTATATACCCATCCTCTCCCCCCCACCTGCCTGACACCCTATAAATGTTATTATTCCTATATGTCTACTTAGGTGTTGATCAGTTAATACCAATTTGCTGATGGGTACATGTGGTGCTTATTTTTCCATTCTTGGAATACTTCACTTAATTGAATGGGTTCCAGCTCTAGCCAGGAAAATACAAGAGGTGCTATATCACCATTGTTTCTTACAGCTGAATAGTACTCCATGGTATACATATACCACGTTTTATTAATCCACTCATGTATTGATGGGCACTTCGGTTATTGCCACATCTTTGCAATTGTGAATTGCAACATTTGAGTGCAGGTGT